AAGGTCATATACGTGCCGAAGATTAGAGGCGTTACAAGAGAGAAACAAACACAAAATAGAAGGAGGGGAGATAAAGACGACAGATGTTTGATAGGAAAGAAGGAGCAAATCAAAACCAGAGCACCCACCAATCACCCATTGCGTAAAGAAAAATCAGTTCCAGAAGAACAAATAGATCTAAGCGTGATGCGGGTTTTAGTTGCATTCTTGTTTGTGCGGAACTTTACAAAAAAACAAAACAAAAACAAAAATGAACAGAGGAAAAACACACAAATCTGCATTTCGTGAACTGCCTTAAAAGTGTCTCTGTATCTAATCTGTTGATGAAACTAATATTTTGTTGAAGTGCATTTCACTTACTGCTATAACTCACTTTTGGTAACACACACACACACACACACACACACACACACACACAGACACACACACACACACACACACACACACACACACACACACACACACACACATACACACACACAACTGATTCAACATACAATGACTAATGTTGCTAAGCACTGTTCGGGATTCGGTTCCGATTAGGGAAGATCAAACAAGATCTTGGTCTTGCGTAAATTTACATTTTGAAGTTGTGCATATTAGTCATGTTTCTAAATAAAAATGGCACGGCCATTTCGATCACTTTAACATCTGAAGTGATACTTAGAACAAAGTCTAAAAAAAAACACACACAAAAAAGAGATTAAACCAGTTTGAAAAATATATAAATAAATAACTTTATTGGTGTGTCATAATCTTATGTAAATAAATACGCCCTAATTTAACTGAATAATAAATTAATACTTCCATCAATTTTGAATAGTGAAATTTTTATGTACAACATTGTAATTAAAATGATATGCTTGCAAAAAATCAAAATAACAATTCTTTCAACATGACACCCACTATGGGGAAAGTATGGCACACCATTGCTTCATAATTTAGAATTAACACAGCTAGGAAGGACACTCGCCCCTTTCCCTCTCTGCCACTCTTTTCATGGCTACTGTTGTCCGTAATGAAGTTATAGCGTGTGCCATAAGTTAAACGTAGCTGATCATAACATTGAGATAAAATTCAATATACATTAAATGAGGTGTTGGCAGGTAGGCAGATAGGTGGGTAGGTAAATGGGTAGGTAGGTAGGTAGGTCAGAAGGTAGGTAGGTAGGTAGGTAGGTAGGCTGGCAGGCAGGCAGGTAGGTAAGAAGGTAGGTAGATAGGTAGGTAGGTAGGTAGGTAGGTAGGTAGGTAGGTAGGTAGGTAGGTAGGTAGGTAGGTAGCAGGTAAGCTTATTAACTCAAATGAGGAATATTTTCCCTCTGAGGCAGTGAGTCTGTGAAAAAGAGTGTTAAATAGTGTGTTGATATAGGCATATCTTTAGGCACAAGTGCAATGAATTTTAAAAAAATGCTGCATTTACATGCTCAGAAGTCAAAACAAGAGGGAGCATTAAATATAAATAGGAGAACAAAATGCATAGTAGGTCTGAAGACAATTCAATGCTTTGTATAATGGAATACATCAAATAGAGTTCTATTCCGATAAATGGTCAATAGTGTCAGTGTATACATTACAGTAGTTTACTTTTCTAACGCACAGTGAAATATAGGTCAGGTAAAATAAAAGTCTTTTTACGAGGACAAAGTATTGATAAAACAACACACACACACTCTCTCTCACACACACACACGCGCGCGCGCGCATGCACACACATACATAAATGCATACAGACACTTCGCGCATACATAAATATAATAATCAAGGAAGAAGTCACAATGGCAATGATGTATCGAATATTCTGAACTTGCTGGAAGACATCAGTAAAGATAGCTAGTAAATGAAACCACAGTAGAATGTTACTATGTAAAAACTGTACAAAAGTCTGTCAACATTTTACAATCTGAGGACCACTCGCTTAACGTGGTACGGTATGGCATGGTATGGTATGGCACAGTATGGTATGTGTGGTATGGTACAGTATGGTGCGGTATGGTTTGGTGCTGTATGGTATTGCATGGTATGGTATTGTACGGTATGGCATGGTATGATATGGTATGGTATGGTATGGTATGGCATGGTATGGTATGGCATGGTATGATATTGTATGGTATGGTGTGGCATGGTATGGTATGTGTGGTATGGTATGGTATGGTATGGTATGGTGTGGTATTGTATGGTATGGTATGGTATGTTATGGTATGGTATGGTATGGTGTGGTGTGGTATGGTATGATGTGGTATGGTATGGTATGGTATGGTATGGTATGGTATGGTATGGTATGGTATGGTATGGTATCTTGAAAACTATACACACGCACACAAAGAACATTTTGAATCTTGCGCTGCCAATTGTAGAGAACACATGGTTTGGAATATTCCAGAAAAAACGAACAAAATGAAGACAAGACGGTTGGCCAGAAGGTAATAAATACATCAGAGCCTCATGCAGAGGGATGGGTAGAGGCAATCAACAATGGCGTATTTGTAATAAATTATAATATGTATGTTTTAGTATGTATCCATATAATATAAATTTATGTTTGTATGTATGTGTGTACATTATTTATTTTGTATCAGTTATCACTGCATGGCATTGGACAGAAGGGCGAGAGCCCAGTTGTTGCTGGATCGATAACAACAACAACAACAACAACAATATATAATTAACATATGTTACGCCATTCTAAACCACATCTCCACACCTTAGAGATAAATAAAAGTGGAAGTATAGTATTTTATCATTATATTTTTACTTCATCACAAAGAAAGGCATGATCATTGGGTAGGCCACCGGTTCTGTTCCACAATAATAATTTGCATACTGTCGACTGTTCGTTTGTCATCTGACACCGAGTCTGCTGTAGTAGGGGTGACATTAATAATAATAATGATAATAATAATTGCATTTATATAGCGCATATCCATGCTCAAGAGCTTGCTCTA